AGGGAAGGAGCAGAGCTTCTCTATCAGGGGACTGCTGTGGTTGACTCTCACAGCAGTCGCATGATCAGGAGTCAGACCCACTGGCTCCTGATCAGAAGTTGTGACTGAGAGCTGTCAGGCATACTTTGGTCAGTGTGGTCAACCTCTAGCTACTGTGGACAACCATGTTGGTCTCTATTGCTATGCGAAGTTTCTCTTTCACATTGCAATAGCTCAGCACTGCTGTGATAGAGGGGACTACACATGTGCAGGGGTTTGAGTTGGAGAGACAGCGAGCCCCTATGATGATGGGTCGAGCAGAATGGCTGGGAGCATCCTACCCACATCCTAGCAACAAGACAAGGAGGAATGATACCATCTATGGGAGTTTTTTGGCCAGTCTTTGGGAGGGACGTAAATGACCTATACCTATAGGCAAGGACATTATTCAACTTTAAGGGCAGCACAGTGGCTAAATGGTTAGCACTTCCGCCTGGCAGTACTGGGGTCGCTGGTTTAAATCCCAACCACGGCACCACCTGCCTGGAGTTTGCATGTTCTCCCTATGCCTCCATGGGTTTCCTCCGGGTACTCCGGTTTCCTTCCACACTCCAAAGACATGCTGGTAGGTTAATTGGCTCCTGTCTAAATTGTGTGTGAGTTAGGGACCTTATGTGAGTTAGGGACCTTAGATTGGATGTGAGTTAGGGACCTTAGATTGTATGCCCCTTGAGGGTAAGGGACTGATGTGAATGTACAATATATATGTGAAGCGCTGTGTAAATTGACGGCGCTATATAAGTACCTGAAATAAATGAATAAATAAATAGTCAAAGTTGCACTTTTTGTTTTTATCTACAGATGTCCCTTACCTGCATTTCTTTTGCAAAGTGCACTAACCCCGTTTCCTTCGACCCTGACTGTTGTTGGCAGTGTTCCACTGAAGAGGGCACATTCTTACACATTCGATGGAGTTGTCCACTTCTTGTCCATTCTGGTTCAAGGTACACGACATCGCTTCTTGAGTCAGAAGTTATGCTGTGGATTTCTCCCCAGCCAAATATTTGATACACTACAAAAAGCTCGACCGTATAGCAGATCATTATTACAACACATGAATAATGCAGCTTGGCTGTGCATTCCCCTACATTGGAGAGACTACCTAGTCTGCGGGAAGGGCTGAATTTGTGGACTGGAAGAGATGGATGAATTAATTTTTACAGCTCAGGACAGAATCTCCTCATTTATAAAAACATGGGCATGTTGATTACATTTTAAAACCACAGATGAGTCTGCCCTGTGGTCATCGGTCAGATGGAATTGACCGATGCAGAGTGATATCTTCATTGCGTGACAGTGGTCTGTCCCTTTATGTGGTTGGTAGGAAGGATGGGGCAGGCGGCCGCCATTCTGTCACCTCTCCCACCCGTTGGAGTCTTGTTTCCTTCTGTGTGAGCTCTCCCTCCCCCCTTTTCCCCACCATTCTTTTGCCAATTCTTCATATCCCTCACCCCCCAAAAAACTCCCAGGTAGATGGGAAAAGAGTTGGGTGATCTCTCTGCTGGAATATCCAAGACACATAAGATGTCAGGCGCTGATTCAGGCCATCAGGCTTCACCTAAAATATCACACTTGAGTGGACTGACACTTAAAATAGAGTTGATTAATCCATATAAACTCCTGCCAGCCTAGAAGTGCTGTCAAATAGGTCAATTCTTTTGATAAATGCCAAAAAGTGGTCAGTCTGGGCAAATGGTTGAAGTGAAGACAACTAAATGGACATCTGATAGTGCCAAACCCAACTTCACTCCATCCACATTGACTTAAAAACCCAACTTTAGCACATCCACACAGACTCTGCAACAAGATACGTTTCATTTTCTGAACATTACTTCCATTGAGCTTTGATGAAAACTGATACGGGGATATCTCCTCTGTAATTAATGCAGACTTTGTTTTTAGAAGGTACAGTTTAAACCACTTATGGCAAACATTCTTCAGGCCTGACATGAGGCTCTAACCCCAACGATAGGACCTCTTCAATATCCAGGATCGAGTGCCGAGTGCCAACAGACTAATCAAACACAGAGGTATTTAGCAAGTCAAGTTTATACAACGGACCACCAGTCTCGCTGGAAATTTGGTATCCATTATAACAACATTACAAGGTTTTAGTTGTGTTGGCAGCCGCTCTCTCTGGCACATGTGTTAGCGGAACAAAGTTGTTTTTAGGTTTAGCTCTCCATTATCAAATTTCCAGGTTCTTATTCTGCAGAGCGGAGGAGACATTTCTCACAAATCTGTCTGTTTATTTGCTGATAGGATCACAGATACAGAGGGAGAGACTGGGGGAAAGGAGGGGAAGGGAGCGAGAGAAAGGTGGAGGAGAAGGACAGAGGAAGAGAAATAAAGAGACAGAAAGACAGACAGAGAGAAATAAAGAGAAGAGAGAGAGAGAAGGAATGAAGGAGGGAGGGAGGGAGGGAGGAGAGAGAGAGAAAGAAAGAAATGGAGAAAAGAGAAAGAATGTGACAAAAAAGAAAGGAAAACGAAAGGGGAAGGGAAGAGGGGGACAAGGATTACAAAGAGAGAAAGACAGAGTGGGAAAGAGAAGCAGAGAGAGAGGAATAAAAAGAGGGAATGCAAGCATGTGTAGGCAACTTCAGAAGTTGTTAAAGTGGACCTTTCACTGCAAATTGGAGAGATCTTCCCTGTCTGTCATCCTAACCCCCCTTTCTGAGAGAGAGAGAGAGAGAGAGAGAGAGAGAGAGAGAGAGAGAGAGCAGAGAGGGAGGGAGAGAGAGAGAAAGAGAGAGAAGAGAGAAAGAGAGAGAGAGAGAAGAGAGAGAAAGAAAGAAAGAATGAAAGAAAGAAAGAAAAGAAAGAAAAATGGAGAAAAGAGAAAGAAAGTGACAAAAACGAAAGGAAAAAGAAAGGGGAAGGGAAGAGGGGGACAAGGATTACAAAGAGAGAAAGACAGAGTGGGAAAGAGAAGCAGAGAGAGAGGAATAAAAAAGAGGGAATGCAAGCATGTGTAGGCAGCTTCAGAAGTTGTTAAAGTGGACCTTTCACTGTAAATTGGAGAGATCTTCCCTGTCTGTCATCCTAACCCCCCTTTCTGAAAACTGATGTAAAAGTAAATAAACTTGCAGCATTTATGCGCAATTCTAAATGGCTGTAATTTTTGTTTTCAAATAACATGTTATACTTACCTGTTCTGTGCAATTGTTTTTCAGTGAGCTGTCCCGATCCTCTTCTTTTTGGGTCCATTGCTGGCAGCCCTGGCTCCTCCCCCAATTGCGAGCCTCTAGAGCCATGCTCCTGTGAATGGACATTGTCCATTCTCACACAGTGCAGTTTGGCCCCACCCCCTCCTCCCCACTCTCACTCCTCATTGACATCAATGGGCCAATGGCTTCCACTGCTGTGTGAGCCTATGAGGAGAGAGAGAGAGAGAAAGACCCGGGAAAGGGTCTTTCTCACATTGCTGGATCGAGATCGGGCTCAGGTAAGTATATGAGGTAGCAGAGGGGTTTTTCTTACCAATGCTGGGGGTTATTACTGCATTCACTAACACCAACGCTGTGGGTTAATATTGTGTCCTTTGACACCAATGTTGGAGGTTATTACTGCATACACTGAAACCAATGCTGGGAGTTATTAATGCATTCACTGACACCAATACTGAGAGTTATTATTGCATACACTGACACCAATGCTGGGGGTTATTCCTGCACTTGCTGACACTAATGTGGGGGCTATTGTTCTCCAACTTCTCAATGTGTATTGTGATATGCTGCAAAAAAATGCAGCAGGACCAACATTTTGGGGCACTGAGGTGAAAAAATGCACTGCTATTGTGCAACCCTCTGGAAGTGTAGGGGCCACACTTGAGGCCTTCTATAATTTTCAAAGTTGACCACCAAATATGTAGCGCAAGGACCTGCCATATTGGAAAGGGTCCTTTCACATGGGAAGGCTCGTTTAGCGGATCCACTTGCTCAGTGGGGGATCTCTCCGCTGATCCCCGCTGATCAAGCGGATGACATTTCTGTGTCCGCTCCGCACAGGCACAGAGCAGCTTGCTCTCCTCAATGAGCAGTCTATCCATTTCCATCTGACCTGATCTGTCGGACAGAAGGGTAACTGGATCCCCAGCCGTCCCTTTTTTGCGGGGGTCGGATGGGATTGGATGTCGGCGGGTGTAAACGGACACCCGCTGCTCCATAAAGGAGAATGGAGGTTCTGATCAGGTCCACCTGATAAACGGGCAGGCGGACCCGATCGGAACATCCGTTTGAAAGAGGCCTAAGTAGGTAGGCCCTCATATTACATAGTTTTGGTAAATCTAAAGTTTATTATACAAAGATCGTATGATCAGATTGCAATGTGTATGGTGACTATAAGGTTTTAGGTGCATCAAAGTGTGTCTACAGCTCACCACACACTTCACAATTTGCCTACTTGGATACAGGTTGATTGGTAGGGTAGCCTCCCTAGCGGTCTGATTATGTCCATATTTCTGTGCTCAAAGCGGTACATTTTTTTGCATGGAAATATGTATTTTTTTTATTGTAGGCCTGTAATTTTTAGGAATAACTCACTGAAATCTGTCCGAACAAGAGTCTAGTAAACATCCCGGGATGATAAAATTTGAAACACGCAATCATAAATTATAATTTAATAAATAATCATAAAAAATAATAATATAATAATAATAAATTCCATTTAATAATTTAATCAAACCAAAAACACTGAAATGTGAAATATAGCGCCAAGTTCGCACATCGCTGAGCAAAGTCGCAGAATCGTTTTCAGTGTCTGATGAGGAATTTTCCCCACGAATCATTATCACTCAATTATGCAAGTGGTTCTGATTTACTATCGCTGTTCTCTAGCCGGTCTAAAACCGCTTTTGACGTAAAGGGACGCTTTTTGGACGCCATGGACGTTTCTCAGTTTCTAGGCAGAAAGAACAGTAAAAATGCAGGCAGGGCGCCGGACAAAGCACTCGGGACAAAATGTATGTGAAATGGTTTGATACAGGAATGTTATACTATGTGATTTTTAGTGAATGTCACTGTTTCACTTTTTTAAATTTCCCGCAAGTTCCGTCAACCGTACGTCCCGATGTCGCAGGGAACGGAACCCGGAAGACAGATGCCGGCAACCGCCGAAGGACATTGCCGGGGACACTGCAGGAGGGACATCGTGGGAGCGCAGGACAAGGTAAGTGAAGAAGAGATACAGTAATGGAATACTATGTGATTTTAGTGTATTTAGTGAATGTCACTTTTTCACATTTTTTAATTTCCCGCCGTTCCGTCCTCCGTATGTCCCGACGTCACAGCGCAGGACAAGGTAAGAGAAGAAGAGATCCCGGGAGCAACGCTGCAGAGTATTCCCGAATGTAGCTCGGGGTTACCGCTTCTGGTGCTGAAACTTTACCCCGAGCTACACTCAGGAATACCTCCAGGGAGGATTAGCTAGATTCTCTCGGTTTTTGGTACATCTAACGTTGACTGTCAAAGGTTGTACAGTCAGACTGTGAAAGCGCTCTAAAATGCGCAAACATTCCCTAACACAGCTCAGTATGAATTCTCCTGATATCTGCCTGTCTATCATTCTGTAGTCCAATAATCTACTTTCTCTCATGTCTCGCTGTGATGGACAGATCCCATTGTAGCAGAGAATTTCCTGGCCCATTTATGAACCAATTTCAGACTTTAAAACATTCCATTGTCCTGCCCCAATCCACTCCCCCCCCTCCTCAAACATCCATTGCTGACTTCCTTCCACCTGTCCCAAAATCAGATTTTTTTATCTCAGATTGTCTTCTAGGAAATTACAAAGTCAAATTCTCACAGAAGCATTTGTTGCATCCAGTGTACTCCGTTTACCGAATACTAGAAAGAGTACCTCGGGTTATGAAAAAGTGGCCAAACACAAGACAAGGAGGAGATTCCGCAACGATGTGTCAGTATTAGGATGATTATCCACTTACACTCTGGAAGAATTACCTCCCTTCCTGACCAGGCCATTTTTTGATATATGGCGCTGCGTTACTTTAACTGACAATTGCACAGTCATACAACGCTGTACATAAATGAGATTTGGCTTTTTTTTTCTCCACAAACAGAACTTTCTTTCAGTGGCATTCGATCACCGCTGGGTTTTTTATATTTTGTGCTATAAACAAAAAAAAAAGGCCAACGATTTTGAAAAAGAAATTATGTTTTACTTTCTGCTATAAAACATATCCAATAATAAAATTTTACAAATCAAATGTCTTCATAAATTTAGGCAAAAATGTATTCTGCTACATTTCTTTGGTAAATATAAATCCCAATATGCGTATATTGACTGATTTGTGCAAACGTAGTGTATACAAACTATGGGATATACAGTATACTGGAATTTATTTTTTGGTTATACTAGTAATGGTGGTGATCAGCGATTTATAGCGGGATTGCGATATTGCGGTGGACAATCTGATGCTGACACTTTGTGGGAACTGACTAACTGCCACTGACATCACCAGGACACTAATACAGTGATCAGTGCTAACAATATACACTGTCACTGTACTAATGACACTGGCTGGGAAGGGGTTAAACATCTAGGGCGATCAAAGGATTAACTGTGTGCCTAACCAGTGTTTTTTTTTTTGTTTACTTTCAGATGTTTTTACTAAGGGATGTGCTGGATTTTATTCCCTGCTTTGCAAAGAAACAAAATCCAGCACATTTATTTATTTCAGGTACTTATATAGCGCCATCAATTTACGCAGCACTTTACATATAAATTGTACATTCACATCAGTCCCTAACCCTCAAGGGATGTACAATCTAAGGTTCCTAATGCACATTCATACATACATGTACTAGGGCCAATTTAGACAAGAGCCAATTCACCTACCAGCATGTGTTTTGAGTGTGGGAGGAAACCGGAGTACCCGGAGGAAACCCACGCAGGCACAGGGAGAACATGCAAACTCCAGGCAGGTGGTGCAGTGGTTGGGATTTGAACCAATGACCCCAGTACTGCCAGGCGGAAGTGCTAACCATTTAGCCATTGTGCTGCCCACTGACAGGATGGAGTTCTGCATTGTTTATATACTGTATGCAAAGCTCTGTCCCGGTGTGTCTCCTTGCCGATCAGAGGGTGCTGGTGGTCATCCATTGGCCAGCACCCACTGTAATTAAATCATAGCAGAAGCGGTGTGCCATCGGCACGCACACCCCTTCCTGGAAGTGCAGAATCACGTATATATAAGTGATTCTGCACAGAGAGTAAAACTGCAATTGGGCGATCAGCAACTGGTTTAAAACCGTTCAAAAACAGAATATGCTAACCCAGCATTTTCATATTCTTGATATGTGCCTGATGTACTATGTACTTGTATGAAAAAGTATCCTGTTCTCTTTGTATTGCTTTCTTTTTGTGAAATCCCTGGTGTTCCTTCCAGTCCCTCTGCTTTCTTATTAAAAACTGAGCACACTAGGCATGAGTGTACATCCATCCCAGCGTGGTCAGTTTTCTGGCTGTGCTGGGAGCACAGCTTGCCTGTGCTCCAGTGGTCAGACTTCTGCTGACACGCCCTCCTGCACATGTCTTCACTGGGAAGATCATTGTCTGCTGTTTCCCTGCCCTTAATGCTGGTATGAACCACTGCAGTTCAGTAAAATGCACTGGTCTTATCCCTCCAACTGGACTCTGGAAAGAGAAGCAGTGGACTGATTCTCTCTGTTGTCATCTACTTTCCCCCTATTTGCACTGCAGCACAACGGATTGGCTCTGTGCTGCTTCTCCCTAGCCTAGTGTGAGCTCTGCTGTACAGTAGATTGCAAGAGGACGATGTTAGGAATTTATACTGCTTGCATTTAAAATATACACTCACCGGCCTCTTTATTAGGTACACCTGTTTAATTGCTTGGTAACACAAATAGCTAATCAGCCAATCACATGGCAGCAACTCAATGCATTTAGACATCTAGACATAGTAAAGACGACTTGCTGAAGTTCAAACTGAGCATCAGAATGAGGTTGAAAAGGGATTTACATGACTCTGAATGTGGCATGGTTGTTGGTGCCAGACGGGCTGGTCTGAATATTTCCAAATCTGCTGATCTACTGGTATTTTCATCCACAGCCACCTCTAGGGGTTTTCAGAGAATGGTCCGCAAAAGAGAAAATATCCAGTGAGTGGCAGTTGTGTGGACGAAAATGCCTTGTTGATGTCAGAGGAGAATGGGCAGACTGATTCGAGATGATAGAAAGGAAACAGAAACTCAAATAACACTCGTTACAACCAAGGTATGCAGAATACCATCTCTGAATGCACAACACGTCCAACCTTGAAACAGATGGGCAACAGCAGCAGAAGACCACACCGGGTGCCACTCCTGTCGGCTAAGAACAGGAAACGGAGGCTACAATTCACACAGGCAACAGAAGACTTGAAAACCATTGCCTGCTCTGATGATCTCGATTTCAGCTGCGACATTCAGATGGTAGGGTCAAATTTGGCATAAATAACATGAAAGCATGGATCCATCCTGCCTTGTATCAGCGGTTCAGGCTGCTGGTGGTGGTGGTGTCATGGTGTGGGGGAGATTTTTCTTGGCACACTTTGGGCCCTTAGTACCAATTGAGCATTGTTTAAACACCACGGCCTACCTAAGCATTGTTGCTGACCACGTCCATCCCTTTATGACTCCAGTGTCCCCATCTTCTGATGGCTCCTTCCAGCAGGACAATGTCCCATGTCACAAAGCTCAAATCATCTCCAACTGGTTTATGGAACATGGCAATGAGTTCACTGTACTCCAATGGCCTCCACAGTCACCAGATCTCCATCCAATAGAACACCTTTGGGATCTAATGGAATGGGAGAGTCGCATCATGGATGTGCAGCCGACAAATCTGTAGCAACTGGGTGATGCTATCATGTCAATATGGACCAAAATTTCTGAGGAATGTTTCTAACACTTAATTAAAATTTAATTAAAATTTAATTAAATTTAAAATTTAATTAAAATTTTTAAAATTAATTAAAAATTAAAAATTGTACTCTACATACCTTATTTTAGACCCCGTGTCTAAATCATTGCTGGGCCTCTTGGCTTCTCTATGCAAAGAGGCAGATCATGGCTGGTGGGAAGGGCCAGAAAGTTGCCGCACATAGTTTCCCGAAAACATCACAGCAGCCTGCCTTAGTACTCCTCTTAAGAGCCCTCAGTCTGGATGCAAGCAGTGGGCTGGCCCTTGGGCGGAGTTATGCAAATATCAATATGCCTTGATGGATGGGTGGGTGTCAGTCTAGAGATGTGGACTGAAGAAGATGCCAGATTTAACTGCAGCATAGGAAAGCAGTGGGCTGGCCCATGGGCGGAGTTATGCAAATATCAATATGCCTTGATGGATGGGTGGGTGTCAGTCTGGAGATGTGGACTGAAGAGATGCCAGATTTAACTGCAGCATAGGAAAGCAGTGGGCTGGCCCTTGGGCGGAGTTATGCAAATATCAATATGCTTGGTGGTGGGTGTCAGTCTGGAGACATGGACTGAAGGACATGCTGGATTTAACTGCAACATAGGAAAGCAGTGGGCTGGCCCATGGGCGGAGTTATGCAAATATCAATATGCCTTGATGGATGGGTGGGTGTCAGTCTGGAGATGGGGACTGAAGAAGATGCCGGATTTAACTGCAGCATAGGAAAGCAGTGGGCTGGCCCTTGGGTGGAGTTATGCAAATATCAATATGCCTTGATGGATGGATGGGTGTCAGTCTGGAGACGTGGACTGGAGGAGATGCCAGATTTAACTGCAACATAGGAAAGCAGTGGGCTGGCCCTGGGGCGGAGTTATGCAAATATCAAAATGCCTTGGTGGGTGGGTGTCAGTCTGGAGATGTGGACTGGAGGAATGCCAGATTTAACTGCAACATAGGGCATGGGCTGGTGGGCGGAGTTATGCAAATATCAAAATGCCTTGATGGATGAGTGTCAGTCTGGAGACATGGACTGAAGGACATGCCGGATTTAACTGCAGCATAGGAAAGCAGTGGGCTGGCCCTTGGGCGGAGTTATGCAAATATCAAAATGCCTTGATGGATGGATGAGTGTCAGTCTGGAGACGTGGACTGGAGGAGATGCCGGATTCAACTGCAGCATAGGAAATTCATATCACAGGCCTGACAGCACAGTCTGACAGGGCTGTGTAAATCCCAGGAGTGGATAGACAGAAATAGAAATCCTTTAAGAGGTAAGACCGCTCCCGTATGTGTATTTAGCCCGGAGTTCAGCTTTAACTGTATCAATATAGCAATGCAGTGTTTTTTGTTTGTTTTTTTGTTTTTTTTTTTATCTAAGTTCTGTTAAGTCAACTTAAGTGCAGCGCTATTGACGATGGTGGAGAACAAGCCTGCCCTTGTCCTCGTCACATCTCAGCGGCAGACACTCAGAAAAAAATAACTTCTTACAAA